TATGATCAATCGTGAGTTTTCGACGGTGGATGTGAACTTAGACCAAGGTTAGTCTTTTGATTGTTTTCGTTAATTTAATTTTCATTGTTATTGATTACGTTATTTACAATTGTTTGCATACAAAAACCCCCCAATCATTGTACGAAGTATAAAATATTGAATTATACACTTTTCGTGGGATCGACCCTTACTTCTACTACTACATTAGTTTTAGAAGTTTAAGGATTATTTTTGGGTGCCTACGACAGCACACCAGCCATAATCATTTGCTGCTTGTCTGGTTTCACATTTACACTAAATACCATTGAAGTTTTATCCCTGTTTAGTTGTTGACCTGAGGCTTCCTCATAAATCCATAGGATAGCTTGTAACCAAGAGGTGGTTCCTTCATTAGCTTCACAAAAAATCAAAATATCATCCACAAAGAGGACATGATTCAGCCTTGGAGCTCTTCTGCATACTTGGATACCAGTTACCTTATTAGTTCTTCCGGCCTCATTCATTAGGCTAACCAATCCTTCTGTACATAAAATGAATAAGTAAGGGAAAGGGTCTCCTTATCTTAAACCCATGGATGGTGTTATGTGACCAGTGGGGTATCCATTTATAAGAATCGAGAAGGAATGGATAGTGACACATTTCATTGCCAGTTGGATAATCTTGTCGTGGAAGCCCAATTTGTGCATGACTGCTTGGAGAAAAGACCATTCAACTCTATCGTAAGCTTTGCTCATGTCAAGCTTAATAGACATGAGACCTTTTTTGCGTGTCTTCTTCCGTCGCAAGAGATGGAGCATTTCATAAGCCACGAGTACGTTGTCAGTAATGAGTCTCCCTTTAATAAAAGCTGATCGAGTTTCCGAAATCACCACAGGTAGCACTGTTTTAATTCTATTAGGCAGAACTTTTGAGACTAATTTGTACAGAACATTATAGGTCTGAAATCCTTGAGTCTCTGAGGATTTTTTGTTTTTGGAATAAGTGTAACAAAAGTGTGATTCATATCTTGGGGGAATTCACAGGTGTTTAAAGTAAGTAAAACAACATTTGTGACGGAAGAACCGATATGTGGCCAAAACCTTTGAAGAAAATAGGAGACATACCATCAGGTCCCGAAACTTTAGTGGGATGCATCTCCTTTAAGGCCTGGGAGACCTCGATTCTAGTAAAAGGTTTTATCAGTTCATTGTTCATACAAGGAGTTAACTTGCATTCCACACTATCAAGAACATCAGCTTGATTACTTGAACCAGTAGAGGAGAACATATCAGAGAAGTAGCTAGTTATTATGCTATTACACTCCTCTTCCTCATTCCAGAAACCTTGATCATCCAATAGTCTAGTAATGAAGTTTGTTTTTCTCCTTTGGGTAGCCTTAGCATGAAAATAGAGAGTATTTTTGTCCCCTCCCTCAAGCCAAGCAGCCCTATACCTCTGCTTCCACATAAGTTCTTCCCTATCCATCCATGTATTCACCTCTTCAGTTGCTTTTTGAAGATCAATAGAGTTTATATTAATGGTGTAGAACCCCGAAAATTTTAGAATAAAATTATTTGTTTT